TGATTGGTTTGCCATCGATTCCCTTCATTCTGTGCGCCGGAAAACTGATCAATTGGGAGAATATGGTGCTGAGGCTATGGCGCCGGCATTACCGCAAAATACCGCTCATATCGTTCTTCACGGGCCGACCGGCCGAGGGTTTCAACAGAGAGAATATGGAGCGGAATCTATTGGGTCTGGAAAACGCGGTTCAGATCGAGCGCAACAACGGTGTCATCAATCACATCGAGATCAACGTGTCGGGCACTTCCATATGCCGGGCCTTCTGTGGCGCCCTATTACTGCCCACTTTCGCCAAGTTTGTCGGACAGTGTCTCTACGATAGCATCGATTCGGATATTCATAAAACACTTTTGGTTTGTATTTTGTGTGCTTTGCGAGTCACTTGATTTCATTAATGATTGTCTGTTTGTACTCTTAGGGCGGCCTAACGTTCATTGTAGTGAAGGGCGGCTTTAAAATATATTTACGTCAACAACAGTTCATTAGACAAACGAAACGCAAAATTTTGAATTACCGAGAGTTCGCCCAAACGCATGATTACAACTAAAAGGCAAAACATTGCAATCCATTCAATTATTATCAAAACCTAAATTGTTTACATAAACTGATATCATATTGTATTGCTTTTTATGAATCGTATTTATTTAATCTCTTAATTCAATTATTATATATTTCTATATATTTAATTTGAGACATTTATTGTGATTTTAATTAACAAATCAAATATTTTATTAAGTTTTTACAATTAAATGTTTATTGAGGCGATTGAGAGTATAATTGTATTGTAATTATTTAGAGATCACATTTCTATTGTCAATTAAATATAAATTTGTTTAAAATTATTACAAAACGAATTGTTAATTCAAAAACAATTAACTAATAAATCACTTTGGATTGACTTTTTTGCTGCTGAATAGCGTCGTTATAATTAGGCAAACCATTCATTTGTATGACCTGTTCATACGATGGCGGAGGTGTGGGTGGGTTTCGGCTATGGGTTTGTCTGTTCTCATCATTTCTAACATTACTTAATATATTAGTTATTTGAGTATTAGTTACGTTTGGGTTGTGATTGAACAGAGTGTTAAACAACTCAATGTTATCGTTGATATGAAACAAATCTAATGATTGATTGTCTTGTCTTCTATCATAACTTCTGTTTCGAGCCATCAATTGATCATTGAATCTATTGCTTAAGTTTGTGTTCATGTAGTAAATGCCGAGAGTATTATGGATTTTGTTCACTTTCTTGTAATACGAATTGAATACTCTGTAGAAATAGTAAATTATGATTATTGCAATTAAAAGTAAGGCTATCCTCCAAAATGTGTATCGCAGGGAACGGAAGGCATATCCCATACATATGAATAGTGCCAATAGAATACCGATTATAGCTATTGGAGTAAAATAACATATAATATTATATAATTAATATAATAAAACTTATATTTGATAAAAATATTATTAAGTAAATTTACGAACATTTTAAAATTTAATGATATATATTTAAATACCTATAAAAATAAGTATAAATACAATTTAAATTTTTAAATACAATACCTCCCATATAATCTGCAATCAATTTATATCCTAAATTCATATTTAATTTAAATTAAATTATAATTTTCATCACAATCTTTACGACAAACATTTAGAATAAATATCTTTTTAATGATAGTTTTAAAAAGAATTTGATCATTTTATTTATTTAATGAAATCAATAGTTTTGAAGAAAACTCATTAATTATTAGTAGTGCAGTATTCAAAACAGTACATTTCGATACAATTATAATGAATATTCGTGATATAAGTGCAATACAGTACTTCATAGTACAACATATCAATAGTTTACTGCATTATTTTCATTATAAACTATAGTTATGGTAACGAAAAATACATTACATAACTTATTCTATAGTATTTTTATAGAAACAACAGATTTTCTAAGTCACTATTTTAGGTCAAAAAGTTGTATAAAATAACTTTGTTTATTGTACTGTACTTGCAATAGCAACACATTTGACATTAACATTAGAAAAATATCAAAGAATATTCGATAAATTGTGCACATAAATAGTAATTTACAAATATTCTACTTATTATTTATACAGTAACTCATTATATATACCGTAATCGTTTTAGTATTCATTATTGCGGTAATAATTATTTTTATTAATTCGCAATACAAATTTATTTGATTTCTTTTAATATTACTAAATATAAAAGTATATAAAAACTAAAATTGTCACATTAATAAAAGTTTTATTTTTAAAGTCATTCATAACTATGCATTAGTTATAAGGACTGTGTTTGTAGACACTGTTGAATGCCGTCAAACGTATGGCTGATGTCTTGATAAATCCGTCGGCATTACTGGGCGTAAAGTCTCCCTGAATGTCCATACTTTGCAAATAGATTAAAATCAGTTTTTATTATACGATACTAATCATTAGTAACTAATGTATTAATTGAATGCAATTATAATCAAGTGAATACCTGACGAGTTGCTGATCGTATAGGGAATTGACTGCTTTTCTGCCTCTAATGAAAGCGTTTCCTTTAAAAAGCTGAAGAATAACAAAACCATTGACCAGTTGTTGGCTTAACTTAAGACACGCTCTGATATAAT